CATGCTCATAGCAAATCAAGTAGCCTTTCTCCATTCTCATTTCGACTGTTCGACGTGAGACCCGAGTCGCCAATCGCCGTTGTGGTTCGTGCCTATAAGGGCATTGAAGTCACCAACACATACTTGTAGTAACTTCTCTCATTCTGAACCGTATCTTCCAGAAGCTGGTAAAATTCTTCGCGTTCTTCGTCAGTGGCGGCGGAGCTGGGACGCATATCCCTTGATAATGGATAACGCATATCCCTTGATAATGGATATGGTACCTTGATTTTTGGTCAGAAGACGTAGAACAGCGATGCGTGGACTAACGATTTTGTGAGAGTCGACTAGGTGGACCACTGCCTGGTTTACGAGAAATCCAACTCCGCCGACATTCTTGCCATCCACCTTGGCTCCAACAATAAGCAGCTCGTTGTGATCGGTTTTCCTAATGGTTTCCGTTCTGCCCTTCGTTTCTTGTATAGCGATAACATCGTACTTGATCTGACGACTCCTCAGCAAAAGTGTTCGAAGATCAGCATCCGATGCAATAGTCCGACAATTATACGAGCAGACGAAGAGGCAGTCCTTGTGTCATTGGGTGGGGGAGTTTACTCCTGACGTCCTAGAAGAGCATATCCGATGTACGCAGGACTGGGGCGCTATTGAAGCTGTTTGAGCAGAAGAAGTGGCTTAGGTTACTCCCTTGTTCCTTGCTAGGGATACAAGAAAGCCGCCCATACACACATTACTGTGCGTACTGCGTAGCCGTTTGTACCGTTGGCCACCATTAGTGGTGTACACCCTATCACCGCGGTGAGGTGGTACATGATAGGGTTCGCCCGGAATACAACGCACATGTTTTTAGCTCGCCCTTCAGGTGTTTTCGTTCCACCGGCTACGCGGTTATCGATGATATTGATTGATATTGTACTGATTAAATACTGATTATATTGCTCCCTGAAGACGAAAGATCAATCAATTTATTACTTCCAACTTCAACAGTTAGTGAAATGACAATTAGACTAACTTCTCCAACCTTAGTACTGCAGTAGAAGTGTATATTGCCTATTGCTGTAGTAGCGGATATTGCGCAAGTAGGATCTCGACGAACAGAGAGAACAATAACGGACCTCTGCTCAGACTCGTTCTTATATAGGGCTCTCTCCCACACGATCTTGCTAATTCGACCATCGTCGATATCTTTTCGGCAATCCGAATGACAATTATTCTGAATGGATGAGTAAGCCAAACATTACTGAAGATCAACACTACTTAATTGAACATGAGCACTTGATAATAAGTTTATTACGTAAGCATAAGGCGTACGTGAGAAAAAAATCCGGACAACACTACGTATACAAGTTCTAATATCAACATATTAGTTCCAAAGCTTTCAATAACACTAATTGACCAACGTATCCCCTAGATTGACCAGTCTCGAGAAAACTAGATCCACCATACCCCAGTAATCTCTTGGAAATACAGTGTCTGAACTGAGCACGCAAAGTGTCAGGTATGTTTTTTGTTAATTTCAAATACGCGCTGCCCGCCCTGAAGGTGAAGCTCTTGGCACGTAAATTAGTCTTAGGTTTTGACAAATAGATCTTCATGGGACCACCTCTAGTGTTCGAATGAACCATTCTGAAGACATCAATGGAACATCAATGGAACCAGACCCACGGGAGACTTTAATTAAAACTTATGAACTAACAAAGATCGAAAACATTCCGTCTGGACTGCAGAGATGATAACCGTAGGAGTTTATTCCTGTTTGGTGCATTCGGCATTTCTGAGTATACAAAGTTACCAGTTCTAATCATTAGTTTATGAGTGAAATTATTTCGTACCCTTCCAAGTGCGTAAATGTTCAAGTTTTCCGTAGGTTGAATACCGCAGTGCTAGCTTTCAACTAATGGTCGAACATAGGTCTTGTAGGCACGTAAGAATACTTGCGTGTTTGCAACAGATATGCCTTTAAAATGTGATATATGCGTAAATGAGCTGTTTGGACTCTTCCTTTAATATGCTCCGATAAATCTAACTTATCAGTG